CCTCGGCGATTCACAAGCCGGCGTTACCGTTCTCAACAGGCAGTACCCCCGTCTCCCTACCACCCCAGCTTCCTGCCTTACTTCTTGTAAGTTCCTTCTTAAAAAAAATTCTGTTGGAACTACGTGGCTGAATTTGCAAGAGATTTGAGTGTACCTCAGGATGGTAATGAATGCAGTGTATTAAACTTCTTCATGCTCTTCATCCACCACAGGTCCGTGCTTCCTATGCCTCCAAATGTGGCCCCTGCTATCAGTCTAGAACTGGATGTGGATGATGGAGAGGTGGAGAACTACGAGGTAGAACAAACTGCTGTCGAGCTGTCACATTTTTCATTTTGTTTGAAAATACTGCATCGTAGAATCAAGCGACAGTTAATATGATGACTGTTTTTTTTGTAAACATGTCCTTTATCTTCGAAATCTTCAGGCCCTGTTGAACCTCGCAGAGCGTCTGGGAGAGGCCAAGCCCAGAGGTCTAACTAAAGCAGATATAGAACAGCTTCCATCATACAGGTTCAACCCCAACAACCATCAATCTGAGCAAACACTGTGAGTACCTTTTTGCGTGGATTTTCTTTTGTTTTGTGAGCAGTTGCAGGTGTTTGCGCAATTTAAAATGTTAGCCCAAGACCATGTGTAAAAAACGCTCCTAACATTTGTCTTTCAGGTGTGTGGTGTGCATGTGTGACTTCGAGTCACGCCAGCTTCTGAGAGTATTACCCTGTAATCATGAGTTCCACACCAAGTGTGTGGACAAGTGGCTTAAGGTGAGTGATGACATTCTTTTATTAGGATAACGGTAATAAATTCCACTGAGGTTGTGAAGCTCAGGCAGAGCAGTCATGGCACAGCAAATAACTGACAACTGAACTTCCAAACAGATATTGCCTCACTCGTGTTTATATCTAGCAGCCTGCATTCTCCTGACTTGTAAATCACTTCAGTAAACAGAAAAATTACACACTTTATTTGCTGTGCTGTTTGTATTTGGTACATTAATAATTTAGGTTCTTTATTTAATTTTTTCCCAGGCTAACAGGACCTGTCCTATCTGTCGAGCCGATGCCTCTGAGGTACAACGGGACTCTGAGTGACCTCCTATAAATATCCACAATCCCTGGCTCCCTGTTGGATGCACCAACCAATCAGTGAACTTCCTTACCCCTTTACCACAAGCCTTTGCTTACACATAACTGGGACCAGTGCTCATTAATCCTTCACTCTATCCCACCAGACACTGAATGGTAATTCTCACCTGGGATCAGCATTTATAGAAGTGTGGAGACTTTTTGCTGACTCGTGCTTACTTCATCACTGGACTTCATAGGCCTTCCGTTTTTGGACTATTAGACCCTGCTACCCTGCCTTCTTCTGATGGTTAACGCTCACTATAAATGGCCTTTAAAAACACACCCACGACACAGTGTCATGTGCAGGTGGACATATATGTATGTATTTAAAAAAAAATGGCATTATGAACCCTTCTGAATTGTGAACTGTTAAGTTCTGGTAGTGGAGAGAAGTACAGGCTTATTTGAAAACCACCTGTATAGTTGTACTAACAAACACTGAGGGGGGAAATTGGCAGTCCAAAGATTATATTTTCGTTATTGTTCTTCTGGTTATAATTAAGCAGTCCCATTTTTGGTGTGCAGAGACTGACCTTTTTAACTAGACTCATTATAATTGTGCAGCAGAATGAGCCAGTTTAATTTCTCTGTGTGTATTCTTGCATTCCTTGGTTTCTGAGCAGTCTGTATAGGGTGAAACAAAGATACTGTACACTGTGTGACAAAGAGTGAGCTACTTTGGAACAGTGAAAAAATACACTTTATTTTCTCTATCCGAGTGTCTGTGCGCGAGTGTTTTTTCAGCAGTGTGAGCCTTTTCACTTGTGGGGATGTGAGTTTTACACCTCCTGTAGAATTTATGCAGCCTATGTGGTACAGTGCATTTACTTCCTAAATTGTTTCCACTCTACTTCAGATTGATTTAGACCCAGTGAAGGTCAAGGGTAACTTCAGATCTTCACAACCAAGGTTCTTGGGAAGCTGACAGTGCGTCTTTCTTTTTTAAACCACACATTTGAATCTACATCTGTTCCTTCTTCTCTAAAACAAGTATAGGTTTAGTTTTTTCCCCTTAAAAAACAGAAAATATATTTATCAACATCTCAACATGCTCAGTAAGCTCCTCCTCCAAGACATATTTGATAAATATGGTTGAATTAATTAAAACTCAACAATTTCATCAATCCTCAGTATATTATAATTTTAATGGGAATATGGTATTTAAAATGTGACTGTCTGTTTTTGGTACCTTTCTATACTTTTGGCAGGTAGCGATTCCAGTGTTTTCCCCATCACTCACGGGGAAGAAGTTTAAAGAGTCTTATAAGGTCACCGTTAAATCTACTTTGGTTCACTGGTGGATTTTTCACTTCAGCACTTTAATATGTAGATTTATGACCTATACACACTCTTTTCTAAGAAAAAGAAGCATTAATGCATAAAAAATACAGATGTTCTTCAAACATCATTTTCCAGTATTGACTACACCCTCAATATATCAGTTCTTTCAAATTCCCACAGTTTATTTCCAAAGGTGTTTATTCTCGGTATCTTAATAATGATCATCAGTCATGATATAACTAATAAACCTCAAGCACAAATCAGGCTTTCAAATGTAAATCCCGAATGGTCAATATTTTTAAGATGACAAGCTAACATGGGCCATAAAAAGTAAAGTGGAAGTTCAGTGCGGCACCTGCAGTGTCTTCCATCTGACATGCCTTTTTATCCAATCTGATTTTCTCCTGGTAGAACTCGTATTTCTTCACTGTTGCCACATCAGATGGAAACATTAATTCAAAGTGGATTTCTGCTTTCCAGAATCTGGAAAGAACATTGGTTTATCCAAAACACTTCTTTAGTGTTATCAGACGTTTTTAAAAAGACAACAACTCTTATTTAAACAATGGGAATCAATGTTTTTCTTCTTCATTTCTGTACGCATCCCTTTTGTGTCTTAGAATCGTTTTTTGTTGGACAGTTTTTCGTTGCTTGATACACTAGCAATTACCTCAGTCCCACTATTTATGTCTTTTCAGAAAATGGCACAACCAGTATGCTTAGTGTGCATCTGTTCATTTTCCATGCAATTTGTTGGGTTGTTTGATATATATTCCTTTAAACTCTATGAAACTTTCATTAAAGTGGTGTCATAGTAGTTTCATTATGTATTATATCTGTAACCAAAATCGTTTGAAGGTCTGTTGATGATGATAATGAAATTTTTAACAAACATTTGTACATTTTGTATGAGAGTTGTTACTAGTAATACTTTATTAAGTAGTGCAATGATTTTTTTTTTTAATCCCTTACCCTGTCTTTTGGATTTCAAAAGCTGGTTCAATAATAAATGTATAACATGCTCTTCTAAAACACTGTGGTATCATTACTCTTTCCTCAGCATTTTGTTTCCTTCATCCTGTAAATTATCATCTCCAATGAACTGTCCACATAAGTGAAGTGCTTTTTACAACAATCCTCTTGGTGGCAGTGCAGTTCTGCAATCCAGGTAATCCTCCTGCCTGAGCCACGTGACTTCTCACATTTACCATAGACAGTGCTTTCTTGGCCTTGGAAATGTTAGTTTCTTTTTTTCAAGGGGTTAATTTAAACCTTTGCTTGGGCAAGGATCTGGTCCTAGGGTCCTGGGATTAACAACAAACATTTCTTTTCTTTTTCTACGGTTTTTAAAATTGTATTTCTTTGCTTTTATAAGAGTCTCCCTAGCAGTAGTGGTTTTTGATACGGGCGACAAGGGCGGTTGCCCGGGGCGGCATCGTGGTGGGGGGCGGCATCACGGGCATCGGCAAAAAAAAATAAAAAATTGCTCGAATGGCATAGGCACCGATCGGTTTTCTATCGCCCATTTCCTGGGAGTAAAGGTCCGTTTGCGAGGTGCGCCTGCTGCTTTCGGCACAGGGAGGAGAGGGCAGGGCTGCGGGGGATTCTGTGGCTGGCTGGAGCAGCATCTAATAACCAACTCGCAAAATAAAACAAAATAAAAACAAAACAACAAACAAGAAAACACCAGACATTATGATACACACTTACAATTTGGACCGATTTTTTTTCGAAATTCTATATGCGAAAAGTGAGCGCGAGAGCCCTCGTTGCGCCTGCTCGCTGCTGAAGTCAAAGTAAACTTTATTGTCATCTCCGCTACATACAGTCCAGTATATAGAGAGACGACGAGGCTCCAGTTACAGCAGTGCAAGTAACCAAACAATAAATATAAGAAGAGTAGGAAAATAAATATACACTTTAGGACTCGGGGTAAAGGGATCAATAACAATTTAAAATTTTTATTTTGATGATTTAATGTCTCACAGACAACCCGTGGAACGGGGTTCTTAATGTTGTAAATCCAAGCTCATTATGTATTCATGATTTGAATCATGGGTTGTGTGAAATCCCAGAAATACACCTAAGACAAAGTGAATCTGTGAACTAAGGTGTAGGTCTATTAGGTTATGTTGTGGTGATCCTCGAGTTGGGGGATTTATACTGGAGTCCAAAATTAAAACCAATGGAAGATGGACAAGAAAAGTTCAAAGCCATCAGGTGCTCAGTTTAGAAAAAATAGAAAAGAAGAGGAGGAGAAACGAGCAAAAGAGGGAGTGTTCCTCTGGCGCCAAACAGGCTAGGACCGCCACTGCTCCCTAGTCACGAGTAATTTGAGGATTTAAAAAACAAAGAAACAACGACAGCAAAAAACAAAAACCTCCGGATCTAATGAACATCTGAACACCTTATAACGGCTATAAGGTCTACATATTTGTGAGCACTAGCTTCAAACTAGCTGCACTAGCTGTGCACAGCTTATTTGAAGGGTGGTCAAAGTAACTCAAGTACTTTCACCATCTACGCTCCTGTTCGGTGTGACATCAGTTGACTATTTTGGCTGATTTGTTTCCTCTTTACAAAAAATAAGAAAATGGAGTGCATCCTAAGCTTTTGTGGAAAGTGCTGGCATTCTTGTATCCACAGAAGAAATGTGTTAACCCTTTTAAGTCTGACAGGTGTTTTCCTGGGTAAGTGAAAACGGTTATTTAATTACTGCAATTAATGATAGCGACAGCTGTTGACCATTTATGGCCATAAACTGTACATGGACAAAGCTAATGCTAGCTGGCTATTAATTTTCCTACAGTATGCTAAATCCCGAAGTTTATAATGGGTCTTTGACTTATGATATGAAGTATCTTGAGGTCACTTCTATACACTGGCTTTATAAAATAAATAATTAAAGCCGAACTGAATTTGAACAATCCGGTTGAAGTTATTTTGAGAACACTAGCAAAAAAACTTTAACAGTACTTTTAAATACAAGTAATAAAGCAGTTAGCAATTGAGCTAATATAATGCTAATTTTGCTACTTGTTAAATTTTACTAAAACAGTAATAATGTATAGCCTTAGCAGGAAGAAAACGGGGGCTTAAAAATATTTCAAACAGGCTTTGGGTTTTAATGCACCTTAAATTCTTTTAGAGTGGATTTAGTTCATTCCTTGATTTGAAGTTGATTTTGGAAGTTATGGGTGTTAACTGTTAACTAACAGTGAATTAAGCTAATCAAACTTCAACCCATTAAATGTGGGATGATGAGCAAGATTGTGTGGGCTCTTTATATATGCAGGGGGCTAATGCTATGAGAATTTACGTTTTAATAAGAATATAAAACTTTTAAAAAATGAACACAGGAGACTGCAGATGACAAATGTGGCATTTGGCATGTTAAGGGCTATTTGAGTGCAACGAACACAGCTCCTTTATTGTAAATACCATAATAAGGGTGTAAAGCAAAGCTAGAATTCGTTCTTGTGGATTTATGTATTCACCTTTTCTCTCTATCTAATTTTTTCACGTGGTGTTCTATCTTGCAATCATAGGTTTAGTAAGGAGGCTTACATAAATGATCACATTTTGTTTTGTAGCCACACATTTCTTGTGAAACTCAAAAGATCTACATAGCTTAGGATTTGGTTGTGACCACCAAATCAGTGTAAGCAACAAAAATGTGACACTTTAACGTGCACATAGCCCATGATGACATTATTCTGTTTTCTTCAGTCATTGAATAAAACCCAAGCTTTATGAACCTGTATGAGCTACATTGATGACTTTAGAAAACTAGAGCCATTATGTGGACGATCAATAAACTGAAAACTGTAGAAGTGGAGGGGAAAAGATAGTTGCTGCAGCTATTTACAGCAAATTAACAGCATCTGAACATCATGTTCTGAAGAAGCAAAAATACTGTGTGCCAAGGTCTCTTCAGAAATGGTGGTTGTAAACAACTCATTATTAAGGGAAGGAACATGGGACAAAAAGTAAATTTATGCCAAATTACACAAGAACTGAACAGAAACTTTGTGACAACAGGTTGTATGGTGGTATGAATCAAAATGTGAGGTTTTGGATTAATTTTTGTCAGTATGTATGATAGAGGCCAGGAGAGAGGTACAACAATGTGTGTCTACCTGCTAGCTTTAAAGTACAGCGGAGGTTCGGACATTCAAATTGATGAAATCGTGGATTGTGCCAGATTTTTATCCATCATATTATACCAAAGACTGAAAAAGTCTGATTTGTAACAAACAAACAGCTTTTAGAAAAGCTTTAACTATTTAGGAATTACAGGCAGTTTTAAAGAAAATCTCTTATTCTCAGAGCATCAGAAGTAAAATAAAAAGTTGGAAAAACTAACACCACTTCATTCTCTTCCACTTATCCTTATCAGGTTCACAGGGGTTGGAGCCTTCCCCAGCTACCATAGGACAAAATGCAGCATAAACCCTGCCAATCTGATGCAATGCTAACACAGAGAGGCGGGAAACAATTTACACTGAGATCCACACCTATGGGTAATTTAGAATCACCAGTTAACCAAACCCCACAAACAGCAAGTCTTTTGGAAGAAACTGGGGTACCTGGAGAGGACCCACACAAACATAGGGAGAGCATGCAAACTCCATACAGATACTGGCGTCGAACTCAGCACTTTTGTGCTATAAGGCAACAGTGCTAACCCCCACAACACCATGCTGTCGACAAATGAACATAACTACAAATATAAAGACTTTTTTTTTTACTTGGATGATGTAGCTAATGTATCCCTGAGGTCTGCCAGGCCTTTACTGCAGGCCTTTCAGTTGCTGCTTGTTTGTGGATCTCTCTCCCTTTAGTTTTGCCTTCATTAACTGGGTGGGTGGAGATTGGCTGACTGACTTGGCCATTAAAGAATAAACAGTTTCTTTATCTCACTTTATAAAGTTTTTGCTACCTCTTTAATTTCATTTGGGTTATAAACCTAGTGATGACCTCCTTCACTTGCATCGGCATCTCTTTGGACCTTGTATTGAGAGTTCAAGTGAAAAAATACCAAATACAAAGTAACCACTTGGAATCAACTCCAGATCTTTTATATGATTAATTTTTCATGGGATAATATGGGAACAGGCCTCACCTGACCATGAAAACAGCTTTTCAGTCAAATATTCAATTATGTTTGAGCCTCTGAAAATGGGGGCTACGTATAAAACTTACTGTAATTCCTAGTTAATGAATTAAAAAAAAAACTTTCTGAAACCTATTGATTTAAATCTGAAACTCTGAATTTTGGTTGTTTGATTTAAAATTCAGTGTTGTGTTATATAAAGAGACAATTACAAAAATTGTGTCATTGTCCAATTGCTTATGGATCCAACTGTATTGCTGTATCTCAAAGGTGTAGGTATGGGTGCAATTTTGAGGACCTACGCCAAGCTGACAAAGTTTCAAAGAATCTATATCGGCTTCTCAGGAGAAATACTGATGCGGATGCTTCAGTTGGTCACTGTTCCTCTCATTGTGTCAAGTGTGATTATGGGTAAGCCATGAGTACTTTTCCTACCAACTATTACATTAACTCCCACATTTTCTACACCTGGATTTTAAATGAGCAAAGTGGTTGTTCGTCAAATGTCTGATAAAAATCAATAATAAATATATCTAAGAATAATTCTCCTTGCAGTTTTAAATTTAACAATGAAAACTGACATAATGACAATCCTATATGAAATTTTTAATAAAGCTACATTTTGACAGTTGTCTGAGACACATCACTCCACAGCTCACTGATCAAACAAACTGCAGTGGTTTCAATGTGGACGCAACACAGAAAGATTTATGATCAGGAAAATGTAATATTTTTCTTCTTTTAGGTATTATATGGTTTGTATTTTCTTTAGGCGTATTGTAAAGTAATTTTACTGTTTTTTTCTTTGTATTATTTTTATACCATGTCTTTAACAGGAGTTTGTGGTGTAAGTGTTGGCATATCCAGAAGAATCACTGCACAAGCGATAATATACTTTGTCTCAACCACTGTTTTTATCTGTAGGTGTAGGTGAGAGAAATTTTGTTTTAGCTTCAAGAATCTTTGCTTATCTTTTAAGACCTTTGTTTTTCTATGTTAAAGCATTAGACTTCCCAAAAATATTATCTGTATATCTGTGCACTCCATAATGTTTGGGACAATGACACATTTTTTTTGCCTCTGTTCACCACCACAGGGGATTATAAATCAAACAATCAATTTTACAAAAGGTAAAAAGTTATATCTGTTTTTGTACATGGTCATGGAAGAGCATGGTCTTTTGGGTTGAGATAAGGTAATTGATCACCATATTGATTGTTTCATTTACAATCCACTATGATAGTCTACAGAGGCAAAACTAATAAATTTAGACCTGCTTAAGCAGAGTGCGTTGTTTTTGTTGCTGCAGAATATTTATTTCTCTGTTAAAACTCTTATTATATATTGTAGGAATATTGTTGGTAGTGGTGATCAAGCCTGGGATGACACTGTTTTTGATGATGACGATGATGAAGCCTTCTCAACAGTGGATGTCTTGTTGGATCTAATAAGGTAAGAAGAAAATTTGTTTTCTAAGAATCCTTCCTAACTCTTACTTTTCTTGCCTTTATTTAGGTGTCATTTTCCAGTTTAGCATGATTTAGATCAGTCAGTCAAATCCTTTAATCTGAGAAAAACTTCTTTAACTTTATAAAAACAAACAAATATAAATTTTCTCTTAATGTGCATTGCTGCAGCTCTCATTTTCACCCTCTGTCTGAAACAACTGTTTTTTGCTCATCTTTGATGAAATGGGGAGTCTGTTGTGATTGGTCAGCTGGCCTAGCTATAATGGAAATAAAAAATCAAATTTAATCTGTGTTTCGTGGCGCACAATAGATCCAGGAACAGAAACGGAAGAAACTGCTACATTATATAATTCCACATTATATTGGTGTAATGGAATGTTGTTACCATTTCTAACATTATTTGCGTTGTGTGTGTAGCGTCCGACAATCCTAAGAAAGTTGAGCTGCACTGTCGCACAGGAGATGGAATGAAAACACAGCATCACACAACAACACATCTCTCTTCTCTTTTCTTTCTTCTGACCCCCCAAACAGTTTAGGCAGACAGCTCACCCTCCTTGAGCCTGGTTTTGCTGCAGGCCTATTAAAAGGGAGTTCTTTTTTCCCACCATTGCCAAGTCTTTGCTTATAGGGGATTTTCTCTAATGTTGCTAATATTATAAGGTCTTTATAAAGCAATTTAAGATTACTCTTGCTCCGAGTTGGTGATTTATAAATAAAATTACATTGACATTGTACCTCAGCATTGAGTTTTAGCATAATCTGCTGATTAGAAATGTTAGTCACATTTCTTCTCTAATATTTTAACATTAGTAATAGTTTTCATATTGTTTTGGTAGCATTGCCACTAAGAATAAAAGCCCATATTTTTCTCAGATGCTGTAAGGGTTTGAGACTCCTGAAACTTAACTCCTGACTCTGAAATTTCTCAGTCCTAAAGTTTGTCATGCTTTGCTTGTGCCTGAGACATTTCAGAGTTAAAATTTGAAGCAGTTTCTGTTGGAGAAAACTACTCTCGCGGGCTTTTGCCCTTTCTCCCTTCGCATAGTTTTATATAAACATTATATGCAGTATTGTTAAAAAAACAGAAAAAAAACCTCATGGCAATAATCCAATAATAAATGGCAGTTTCTTATTGGCAATAATAAATTTGTTTGGCTCCAACCTGCAGTGACTCTAAGTTGCATAAGCAGCTATATGTGAGGCTTTCTTTTAAGTAACATATGTGTTAATGTTTAACAAAGGTTTAGATTATAACTTTAAAGCACCACTTTTCTCTTTTAAGTGCTTCAACACTAAACACCAACTAATAGCTTTTATCTTCTATGATGGTTGTTTTCTTGACTCTTTTTCAGAAATATGGTGCCAAAAAACCTGGTTCTGTCAAGCTTTAAACATGTATGTTTTATTACTTACACCAAGCAGACAATCTGATATTCATGGTTATTTATTAATTATGTTAATTATTCTTATTTATATTGTTTTTTTCTCATTAGTACAAGACCCAGAAGGTGTTGGTGAACATTGAATCAGACAATAACAATTCTACCTCTGACACGGTAAATGATTTGTGAAATCACAGTGATGACTTCTGTTGGAAAGTTGATCTCAATGAATTTCTCATTTTTTATTTCAGGAAGAGACGCAAGTACGTCTAGTGGGCAAATACATTGATGGACTTAATACACTGGAGGTGATTGGAATGTCTTTTATTTTTGGCCTGGCCCTCCGGAACATGGGCGAAACAGGGAAACTCCTCATGGATATCATCAGCGCCGTTAACGAAGCCACCAAGGAAGTGGTTAAGATGATAATTGGGTACACTGATATAGTTCCTACAAGGAGGCCATTCAACACCTAAGAGATAGCATGCAAAGATTTAAATTATATAGGTGGACTGATTTCCTGATTGTCATACACTATCAAAAACAAATCATTTTTTCAGGGTGTAAAAACTAACACATTTAATGTTAACTGGCTTTTCAAATAAACCCATTAATTTAATTCTATTGTTTCCTTTTTGCCTATAGGAGTAATGTTCATGACTGCAAGTTACGTCATTGAGGTTGGGGAAAAGTGGGATGCTGTCCTCAAACTGGGAAAGTTTACAGCAGTGGTTATTACTGGGTATGTTTAATGTAAATGCATACTTTACTAGCACCTTCTTGTCAGTAAGTAAAATTGGAATAACTCGTATTCATATTGTATTTTTTGTCTGTTTTTAGGCTGTTCATCCATGCAGGAGTAATTTTACCACTGATCTATGTCATGTTTGTGAGACAAAACCCCTTTCCCATCATAAAAGCCGTTTTTCCGGCCTTGCTGAGGACCTTGCTCATCTCACGCAGGTTAGAATTTTAGAACTGTATAATACCGTATCACAGAGATGACTTATATTGATATAAAGAAAACATATAGATGCTTACAGATGTTAAAGAACAAACCATACACTGTGTTTTCAAGCCATGCAGTCTCACTGACTTATACGTGCTGTGAGGAAATAATCAAGGTTGACAAAAGAATCACTCGCTTCATGCTGCCTATTGGGATCAATGCCAATATGGATGGAACAGCCCTTTATGAAGTAGCTGTGGCAGTTTTCATTGCCCAGCTTAATAGCATGAGATTAAACTGGAGCCAGCTATTTAGCATTGGGTAAGTGACAGTAATATTCCTTTTTCCATTCTCTTTGTCTTTTCTGATTACACAGAAATGTTTCTTGTATGTTTCAACATTGATTGGATCTTATTTAAAACAAAAATCTTTTTATAAAAATCTTTTTTCTGTAGCATGATCGTACCAGACACGTAGAAATCTCACGTTTTAGTTGGTTTCCTGTCAAACATATTTTTGTCCCAAATACTGATGGATTGGAATAGTTAGAATCGTCCTGTATAATATTGTTTTTTTACTAGATCGTGTGAAATGGTAGATTTATGTATAATGCCTCAGCTTCTTTCAGCAACTGTTATTGTTTCAAGTATCCAAATATTTGTCTTTGAAAGATTCCAGCCAATTCTGTAGATCTGAAGCTATTTTTCCCAATAGCCATATCAAATATGTAAGCCTAATGAAATTGCTTTGTGTACATTTAGAATGTAGAAGCCAACCAGAAGACAGAAATCAAAATCTTAGAAGGATTAACTCCATGAATCTCAGATTAAACCTCATAATTACCCTACCACCTACTATCCTGCCTATTGTAAATTTTCACATTTGCCTTCAGTCTCATTTTTAGCATGGAACTGAAGGCAGTACAGTATACAGCTGTATATTATTTTGTATTCACTGGTGGTGTTCTGCTATGTGTGCTGTCTACAGCGTGACAGTGGCATTGTCTGCTATAGGAGAAGCAGGAATCCCAGCTACCGGAATGGCGACGACTCTCTTCATTTTGACAGTAGTTGGGATTCCTGTGAGGGATGCTTCCCTTTTGCTGGTTATAGAATGGTTGCTGTAAGTTGAATAAATGTTTTTGATGTTATTGCTACTCTTGCCTTGCCTGAGACCTCACGTAAAGAAGGAATATCAAAGGTGCTGACAAACCATGCTTTCTGGGCTCTCTATCTTTTAGAGATCGCTGCAATGCTACTGTTAATGTTCTGGGAGACTGCGTTGGTGTGGCGCTTGTACAGCATTTGTCAAGACAAGAACTGCAAAAAATGGACGAGCTAGGAATTCACCATCCCAGGTGAAGTTTTAATTTGTGTTTTTGGTGAATTTGAAGAAACATAAAAAAATAGGTCATTATAAATGGGTACACCAACAGTCAGAAAATAGTTTTCAGTCTTTAGTTGAATATGTAACTCATTAGTTAGTTGTTAGATTCTGTCTGAAGTTGGGTGGACACAGCGGGACACCTTAATCATAAATGGACGTGTTTTGCTACAAGACAAGTGGGAGATTACAATGTGAAAAGGACATTTTTCCTGTGCTGTGGGAGTTGAAAAAGGCAGGTAAAGGTTCTGCTCACAGCTACTCATACAGTATCTGATATCTACAATATATGTCATTCAGAGACCGGACATCAAAATGTGACATTGAGGATATCCATTCAGCCTACCAACAGCCACGAGGTTGTTACGTCGACACAAAAGCAAAATGAACTGCCTGGGGTTGTCCTGTAACCGCAGCTTGAAGGATATTTTCCTTGGGAACATGGACTGCAGTGGAACATAATTTTATGTTGTTGTTATTCTGTTACTCTTTTATTAAATTTAATTTATTTTTATGGGTTCTTGGAAATAAGCCCCAATGAATTGTTTGATATATTTGGAGTGCAACTATATCAACTGTAGTATTTATTTATTTCTTACTTGAATTTATTTCCCAACTTGTATTTGTGTGTATTTTGTCTTTTTTATGCAGCATAAAAAGATGTAGCCTGGAAAGTAATTGTAACTTATACAAACTCGCTAATAATATAAAAGAATAAATAAATAAATAAAAAATAATAATAATCTATACATTTTAAGAACATCCCTTAAAAAAAATAAATAAATAAAAAAAAATAGACAGACAGACAGACAGACAGACAGACAGACAGACAGACCGATGATCGATAGACAGACAGACAGACAGACAGACAGACAGACAGACAGACAGACAGATAGATAGATAGATAGATAGATATAGATATATGCGCATATTGGCATTTATTTCTTATAGAAGGTGTTGTCTTGATTTACTATAGTTTTCAGCTGATCTCAATAAATGTCTATATAAAAATTTAAAAAACAAAAGTATTGTTCTCTGATTACATTGATATATTAGGACATTTATGAATTTTAAAATAACTTTTAAAAACGTTTTTTCCCTTGCAAACCACCTGGAACAACAAATGTGTGAAATGTCATAATATGTCAACAAATAATGATATAATAATGATGAATCGGATAATAAAACAAACAGGTTGTGTGTTTTTGGAACAAACTTGCAATAATTTTAAATCTCTAATCTAATGGCCTCTGAAAGTCCACTCTGTGATCTCTGGTGGCATACCTGTAGAAGTTACTACCTTTCTTGTACCACAGCATGGACTGCACAGTAAAGCAGGTTAATCTTAACATGAGCCTCCATATAAATTAGTAGACTTGTTATGGGTAACACTGTTGTTATGGGAAACTCAGAAATAAATGTTTATTATTGACTCATTTGTCACATGACACGATTTCCCTTTACACTACAGGATTTCCACGTTAAATGTTTTTGTAGTATCTATTGAGTCTCTATTGCCATCTAGTGGTGGTAAAAATTGCAAGCTTCCGAACAGGACACTGGAGCCACACCTAGAAAATACTGTGTGATGTTCGCTGGTTTAGATTGTGTGGCAATGCAAATTATTTTAAGGAAAACAGAAGTATTGTTTTTTAAGAAAAAGTTCCACATATGATGACAGATATTCCAAAATAAACAAAAAAATTGGGCCTAACTAAAGTTTTATAGTTTGATGTCCATTTACTCCATTAAACTTACTGTTTTACAATGGCTGGTTATGGAAGTTTCTATCAAAGGTGCATAATGACGTTTTGCTGATGTGGCAAATGGAGTGCAAATAAAGAATGCTTGATGTTTTCTTTGAGCACACATCATTTGGGTTCTCTATTTTTACAGTTACTTTCAACTAAAGTGAGATAATTTAAAATGTATAGGTATTTACCCCTAAGTCCCAGGTGTAGCTCATTACATCAATAATACAAATATCCCACTCAAAACAAGCATGCAAATTTGTATGCCTATTTTCAACACTCTCTTTTTTGATTAATGTTTTCTTTTATCTTTAATAGATGTTTTATGAAATAGCTTAACAAACCTCTTGTTTATTTTCTCATATTTGAACTGTTGGGATCTTCTTCTTCTTCTTCGTCTTCTCTTTCATGCCAGTAAAGAAAATAGATACGTTTTAAGAATGTGCCTTTAAATCTCATCAAATACAAATGGGCTGATTACATTTTGTGGGATCAGGTTTAACGTAAGCACATATTTAAAAAGGACAAAAACAAAAGCATCTGATGTCCTTCTTTACACCAAAGCTGTGTGATATTTGTTACATATCAGGGCTTTCACTCTTATTGTGTTCATAGTTGTGCTTGCCCATAATTTATACCATCACGTCTAAGCATGCTGTGCATTATTAGCATATTAATGCATGTATAATGCATGTCTCTTTGGATTTTTAAATGTTCACATAACATTAGTATTTCTCTATTTTATTGCTTTTTTAAAAATATTGATTTAAACATCAAGAATCTGGACACCATGTAGAAATTTAGTGACAAAACAGCAAGACACCAATAACATCTTCCTCACAATTGAGAACTGAACTCTAAAACTACCAGTCCAGTAATATTCAGACACAACATTTGTGTTAGTAGACATAAAAATTACAAAATCATCAAGAAACAATGGTCTAATGTTTTGACCGTGAACCAGACAACCACACCCTACTTTCCTCAGACCTCAGTCCCAGACTCATCGGCTTTTCACCTTTGTTTGATTATTGTTATTTCAGCAAATCTACTTTTCTCTCCCATCCAAGGCTCTCAGACGCACTTTTATGAAAATGCATTCTTTCCTGAACACAACATTCATAGTACTACAACACATTCCCACAGCCACTTTATTTTAGGATCTTGTCAGTGTTATATACTTGGAAACACCTCTGGAGGTATTTACAGTCCCCTTTCTGCTTGTTCTCTTGTTATCATAACCACAATATAGGCTCCCTTTGATCACTGGTCCAGTTTAGAGTCTCATATGTTCTGAGGCTCCAAGGGATATTTAACATGGGCCAGAAGGTGTCATTACAGGAAAAAAGCTTATTGGTTAATAAATAATTATAAACCTATTAATCAGTGGTTAGAACTGATGGTCTGACTAGTTTCTTCACTGGCTAACTTCGCCGTCACTCAGATGTCTGTTTACGAATATGAAGATCCTTTCCCAGTGCACTCATACAGTAACCAAGAATAAAAATGTAAAACTAACAGTGTAACTCATTCTTTGTGTAATATTTTGATTTATTTTTGCCTCTAATAAATATTGTGCTTTTACTGTAAATACATCATTTTTTTCAGATATCTTATTAGCACTTTTATGAACCTAAAATCTGCCTGTGTAAGACAGAAGCAGTGATGGAGCAGCAGAGCATGGGAGGAAGGATGTTATGAATTGCTGTAAAACGTGGCACTCTTGTGCCAGTTAACTTGACTGAAGCAGACAGTCACCTCCATTATAGCAGATTGAAATCTCCACTGGGCCGTGTAAGGGAGTAATGTGTTAGTTATATGGCCTGTGCTGTGATGGATTTATGCACATGCTAACTGCATCAATGATAGACCTTGGATAAATCTCTCCATTTTATTTTTAACGTGAATATTTCTGTCTTGTGGGAAGGACTATGGACTCAGAAAATCATATGCTTTGCATCAAACTCAGCTGAAAATTCGAGATTATAAAAAGATACAAAAAGGAAAAAAACTACCAGAATCTCCACGACAAGTCAGTGATTAACAATCATAACGTTGTTAATCACTGAATCTGCAGTGGTTTATTTATGAGACACAAGCATACATTTCTAAAGGAGGAGCAGAATGTTAATGACTTCTTCATATGATTGTTTTCCCACCCCGGGCTTTCATTGTTTTAAATATTGCTGCAACGTGATTCTTCTTTTACTGTGTTAGCCACATGAACAATACATGAACAATAAAAATACACGAACAATAAAACTACATTCACGTGTACTAAACTAACATGTGAGTATTATCTGAGGTCAGACATTAAGGTTAACCACAGACATGGGCTCTCATTTGAGCAAGCACTTGTTTAAATAGTGGGAAGAAAAAAATCCCTTTTAACAGGAAGAAACCTCCGGCAAAACCTGAGTGTGAGAGTACCAGAAATACCAGTCTTTATTTTTCTAATGCAGAAGTCTAAATTCAAAATGTCAGTCCAAAAGTCAAATTAAATGTGGCACACAGGGACAAAGCAACAAAACAGTAAAACAAGCAAGCAAACAAAGGAAAAAAATAACCATTCACCATCAGTCTGAATTGTTGATAGAATTAAACACAATTGTATTTATCTAGCAGCTTTCAATCGAAATATCGCAAAGTGCTTCATAACAAAAATGCTAGAATATCAAATTTTTAAAAAAGACGGGGAGGATTCCAGAGTCTGGCGACCACTGTTGCAAAAGGTCCACCTCCTTTAGTTCTCAACCTTGTATGATGCCCAGCAGATCCTGACCACATGACCTCAGGACCTGCTGGGGATGTATCAGTGTAAAAGCTTGTTGATGCATGCTGGTGCTTGTCCATGCAGAGCTCGAAAAGTCAAATCCAGAATCTTAAAAGTAAAGCCTTATGGCAGCCAGTGCAACTAAATTAGCAACAGTGTGACATGTGAGTACAAGACTTTTAAAAACCTTTCAGGATCGTTATGAATATCTTCCAGATGCTCCAAAGAGGTTTTGTTAAGAAAAGTAAATGATGAAGCAAAAGCATGACTAATAATGTTTCTTATAAAAGCAAGAATCACAAGTCTAACGTGATCATGCAATGTGAGAGCTGAGTCAAAAGTTATCCCAAGGTTCCCGACATAAGATTTAGAAAATGTGGCAAGGGGACCTAGAGTTTCCATCATCCTACCTGTCAAAACTGTCAGAGGGAACATGCTTGTTTACTCCACGTGTTTCTTTCGATCTATCATCTGAATGTCACAGCAGAAATCAAGATGTGGTGTAGTCACACTGGTGTGCTGTCAGCTGGAATGGCTTATCTCCTCTTTGAGTTACAAAATCAGCTTGAATCATCAGGTTATATTATTCTCCTCATTATATCCCATATTATTTTTTTAAAATGTCACATTCATCCATCAAACAAATGATTATGGTCTGTTTAACACCAGAACATTGTAACTCATGGTAACCCCTTTTGGACAGGCAAAATTAAAGTAAAATAATGTTAACTTGAATTTGTGAGTCGATAAGAAAGTCTTCACACAGCCATATGTCAAAGCTGCAGTGAGAAATAATTTGCAGCGCTAACGTGTTTCTGCTGCAGACTATACTGACACGTTTTAGTAACACATTATCACGGTTATAAAACCCTAACATGTATATTGTCTTAGATTAAAAGGACCTGGATCTCCATGTCTACACTATTATATACATTACAGACCACCTAAAGAGGAGGCTTAAGTGCTGGATTATCTGCAACACTAGGTTCGTTACATGACCTATATCAGGTTGTGAGTTTAGTCTAAACTCTGACTGTGTGCCAGTACAAAACAATGACAGAGCTCATCTGACTTGAATGGCATTTTCTCATTTAAATTTGCATCTTTGATTCTTTAACATGGGGTCTACAGTCGCCACTTTGCGGTGATTTACGGTTTTAAACGCTTTAAGTTTAGTTAG